GCGAAAGGCTCTGAAAGACTGCGGTCAAACAGTCGTCCCTCTATGGGCCGTCCGTTCACTGCCGACGCATGATAGGCGTTTCTGACTGGTAGCATCCTCTTGCAAGGCAAGTATTGCACAGCACCCCCTGTGCAAGTTCCCACGCCCGATCCGGAATGGATCCGGCACATCTTCAAATCCAAGCGCCGCTTGGAAAGCACCCGGAGCCACGTGGAAAGAGTCAAACGGTGCATTCTGCACAACTGCACGTCCACAGTCACGCATGCTGCAGCAGCCGGCAAGTGAGCATTGTTTTTTTTGGAGGTTCAGGGCTTATACACTGCTGGGGAGGCTACGCGGGGGTCTTCGCGGGGGCAGAACTTGTGGAAGGGTTGGCTTCGCAAGGCTTCGCGGAGTGGCTTCGCCGGGCTTCGCGGATGTTTGTGCCACAAACATCTCTGACGTTGTTGTTGACTCAAGTCGAGTGCGAAAGGGGGCGATGAAAGGCGGCAAGAGAGGCATTGAGCTTCAGGACTAGGGGACATGGCTGGGCCTCAAAGGGGCGGAGCATGGAAGTTGGACCGCAGTGGCTTCGCGGTGGCTTCGCGGAGGCTTCGCGGGGGCTTCGCGGGGGCTTCGCAGAGGCTTCGCGAAAACGTTCCATCGTTTCTAGCAAAACCGGGCCTGAAACGCACAGTGCTCTTCCGGTCGTCTTCCCGTAATCTTCCTGTAATCTTGTCGTAGCCTGCTGACTCTAAACATCAACCTTTGGAATACTACTGCCATGAAAGCGCACAACACACTTGCCATGAAAGCACGCAACACACCCAAACCACGAAGTGGCTTCGCCTGTGTCAATGTTACCGTCGCGGGGCTTCGTGGTACGCAATGTATCACGCAAGTGCCTCTGCGGACCTTTTGGGAGTTCCCCACGAAGCTAAAATCCATCATCTGAGAAAAAACCGCTGCTCAAGTGACTTTCCAGCACGTTACCTTGCAGCTGCAGCCCGCCCCTTGGGTCATGCTTGGCATAATGTCACTGCGTGTCACTGCAACTCAGCACATATCTGACAGAGAACGGGCCCAAACAAGAGCAGTCCTGCAAAGCGCTTCATGAAACCTATAGACGCGCGCGGCCCGAAGTCAGCAAGACAAACTTCTAATCCACATCCGGGACCCTGGCCTCGGTGCAGTCGGCGCAGCGACATATGTCACCGCCAGACTCTTGGAGTCGTTGACTTTCTGCGGCCGATCTTTGAAGGACTATGTCCATCACCCCATCCACGGCTCTCAGCGCCGCCACATGCCTTGTGATGTGGCCAAGCTTGGCGAGGCTGTGGACACAAGCGTAACACTGCCCGCCGCACACGGACCGCTTACTGCGGCCATGTGATCGCACAATTCTGTACTCCCAACCACATTCGTGCTTTCTACGGCCACATATGGCGCAAGCAGTTTTCAAGAGGTGCAATGTCCGGGCCACATTCCCAGCGCCTGAGCCATGCCTTGAAACCCAAGCTTTCAAGCGCCTCTTCTGCTCGGGTGACAACATCGGCAGCGACAGAGCGCCGCCAGCCGGAACGGGACCTTCTCCAACCACCTCACACAAAGCTCAATCGTTCGATCAGCATTCGGGCTCCTTCAAAGCAACTAAAAGATCACTCGAACACATGAACCGGAGACATGCAATTGCTGACGGCCCCGACATATATATATATATATGCTAACGGGTGCATTTGCAGGCACCCTCATGCTATACTTTTCGTTGTTTGCGTGCACCCTGCCAGTCATTTGCAGGCAGTTGCAAGTGGACTTCTTGACGAAAACAACGCGTTGTCTTCGTCAGCCTTTTCAGGACTCTTGCTGACTGCATGTCGAATGCCATGAAATCGTCCAGTTCATGCGATCACGCTTGAGAAAGGCTCCGCATTTACCAAAAGTATCTAAAGCGCGCCAAGGGAACCCTTTGTTTGATGAATCCAACATCCCAAAATGGTAGCAAACACGCCCAAGGGAACCCTTTGTTTGATGAATCCAACATCCCCAAATGGTAGGAAACACGCCCAAACGAACCCTTTGTTTGAAAAATCCACCATCCCAAAATGGTAGTAAATACGCCCAAGGGAACCCTTTGATTGATGATTCCAACATCCAAAAATGATAGGAAACACGCCCAAGACAACCCTTTGTTTGATGAATCCAACATCCCAAAATGGTAGTAAATACGCTCAAGAAAACCATTTGTTTGATGAATCCAACATCCCAAATTGGTAGTAAACACGCCCAAGGAAACCATTTGTTTGATGAATCTAACATTCCCAAATGGTATTAAACACGCCCAAGGGATCCCACACTGGTAGTAAACACGCCCACGTGTGCGGCTGCTACCGCCCAGCCTTGCCTAAAAAGGCGCTTTGCAGAAGGTGGAAAAGGCAAGATTTGCGTTTCGCCTACACGAAACGGCGCCTGGAAGTGCGCCCTTCGGGATATATATATATATATAAAAATAAATAAATAAATAAATAAATAAATAAAATAAATATGTGTGAGGGACTGCCACAACCTATTGCTTAGCCGTAGTAGGTTTATTGAACGTTATCTGTCAGCTCCGGCTGGAAAGTCGCAGCTTTTCAGTACATGTGTAGTACGCGAAGTACACTCCCGTAGTTTAGGCTGGAAAGTCGCAGCCTTTCAGTACAAGTGTAGTAAGCGAAGTGCACTCCCGTTGCTCCGGCTGGGAAGTTTCAAGAAGGACCTCGCGCGTCCCGAAAGCTGACTTCAAACGCGCCCATCCAATGCAGCAAGGTTTTGGTATCCCTTCCTTTCTTCTCTGCCAATCTCTTGCCCATGGCCTGACATGAAAGAGAAAATGGCGGTCACGTGGACAACTGCCTTCAAAAGCTGAAAAGCCATTCATACTGGGTATCGTTCTGGTATCGTTCTAGGTATCGTTCGGGTCCGGCTCGAGAGTGATAACTTTGTAGATTGTAAGATGCGATGCAAAATGCCGCGCCTTTGTTGCGTGCCCCTCAAACAAGCCCCTGCCAAAAAATCACATGCGTGCGTGGATTAATAATATGTGATATAATATACATGCTGCCACTTACGCAGACCGCTGGTCCAAAACCTCCTTGGCCCCACAAAAAGAAACACCAAAAAGCCCCCCAGCATTCTTGTTTTGACAGAAGAATTTCAAGGTCCCAAGCACTCTCCTCTAGAAGCGCTACCCCCAGTAGTAGCATTCTCTTCCGTACACATGTAAAACCGGTCTTTCTCCAAAGCAACCACCTCTTGCGCGAAGCTGAAGAAGCAAACAGGGGAACAGGGAGCGCCAGTCAAAAATCCGAGACGTGCCTGATTCACCTGCTCTTGAAGAGGCGGCACCAATCCGTTCGAGGCCTCCGCAGCCGTTTGGAACAAACAACGTTGGCCCCGGCAAAGCCGAAAAATGCAAGCCACGTGCCCTGAACACACCGAAAACAACTTTCGGGACAGCAAAATAGCTTTCGGGTATGGTTTGGACGCCCTGGGAAGCTTCAGGCACAATCAAAACAAGGATGCGGGAGATTCAGGCGGTGCCTCCATCCGAACATCCACGGGCGCCAGCTCTGCTTGAGGTGGCTCCTCTAGCTGAAGAGTCGCGGCCTCCGCACTGCCGTTTGGTGGCTGACGGGCAGGAGCTTGAAACAAACAACGTTGGCCCCGGCAAAGCCGAAAAACGCAAGCCACGTGCCCTGAACACACCGAAAACAACTTTCGGGGCAGCAAAATAACTTTCGGGTATGGTTTGGACGCCCTGGGAAGCTTCAGCCACAATCAAAACAAGGATGCGGGAGATTCAGGCGGCGCCTCCATCCGAACATCCACGGGCGCCAGCTCTGCTGCTTGTGGTGGCTCCTCTAGCTGAAGAGTCGCGGCCTCCGCACTGCCGTTTGGTGGCACCTGACGGGCAGGAGCTTGAAACAAACAACGTTGGCCCCGGCAAAGCCGAAAAACGCAAGCCACGTGCCCTGAACACACCGAAAACAACTTTCGGGACAGCAAAATAACTTTCGGGTATGGTCTAGACGCCCGGAAGCAAAATAGGTATGGTCTGGACGCCCTGGGAAGCTTCAGACACAATCAAAACAAGGATGCTGGAGATTCAGGCGGTGCCTCCATCCGAACATCCACGGGCGCCAGCTCTGCTTGAGGTGGCTCCTCTAGCTGAAGAGTCGCGGCCTCCGCACTGCCGTTTGGTGGCACCTGACGGGCAGGAGCTTTCGGGTATGGTCTGGACGCCCTGGGAAGCTGCAGGCACAATCAAAACAAGGATGCGGGAGATTCAGGCAGTGCCTCCATCCGAACATGCACGGGCGCCAGCTCTGCTTGTGGTGGATCCTCTAGCTGAAGAGTCGTGGCCTCCGCAATGCCGTTTGGTGGCTGACGGGCAGGAGCTTGAAACAAACAACGTTGGCCCCGGCAAAGCCGAAAAATGCAAGCCACGTGCCCTGAACACACCGAAAACAACTTTCGGGGCAGCAAAATAACTTTCGGGTATGGTTTGGACGCCCTGGGAAGCTTCAGCCACAATCAAAACAAGGATGCGGGAGATTCAGGCGGCGCCTCCATCCGAACATCCACGGGCGCCAGCTCTGCTGCTTGTGGTGGCTCCTCTAGCTGAAGAGTCGCGGCCTCCGCACTGCCGTTTGGTGGCACCTGACGGGCAGGAGCTTGAAACAAACAACGTTGGCCCCGGCAAGGCCGAAAAACACGGGCGCCAGCTCTGCTTGTAGTGGCTCCTTGAGCTGCGCTTGACATAAGCAGTTTTCTTGACTGCAAAGTTCCTCCCGGGTATGGTTTAGCCCCTTGGCAAGAGACCCAGTCGGAATTGGTCGAAGGCTTCGAACAACCAAGCTTCAAGCAGTTCCAAGTGCTCCAAAACATCTGAAAGTTATCAGGAGGCCCCCAAACAAAGCAGTGCCAAAGCTGCCGGAGTCCACGAGCAGCAAAGAAGAACGCAACAAACCAAAAGACGGCGCCTTCTGGTTCGCATCCCCGGCCGGCGGCGGCAGCAAGCTAGGACCGTGCACGCGCACCCAGACCACCTGGCCCTTCTTCCGAGGGAGGCTCAGTGGGTCCGAGAGCCGGTGCACCTCTGTGAGCTCCCAGACCCAAGGTTGCTTGTAATTAATTAGTTCTGGTGGGCAGCAGGTCCGGTGCTGCAGCGCCAGCAATTCTTCCCGGGATACAGGACGCGAGGAGACTACCTTGCAGTACCCATGGAGCTCGCAGCCGGTGGCCAAGCCAATGGGGCCAGCCCATTGTGCGCTCCTCGCACGAATCTCCAAGTCCTTACGGCCAGAGAGTATGTGGTCAAGCCACTCAGGCTTGAGAAGTAGCACCTTCTCCAGTTCACACACTGCATGCTTCTCAGCCAAGGTCAACGGACCCTCTTCCAACGGACGCTTTGTCATGGCGCGTTGGCAAAGCAGGCTTTTCCCCCCGGAGCCCAAAAAATCTTCTAGATGGCAAACCACGCACGCCTCGCCACCAGCAAATGGTCAATGGACTGCGTCAGATATCAAGGCAAGTCAGGAGGGCATCGTTTTAGTATCGTTTGGGACATCGTTCGGCACGCTGCCAAGAACTCCAAACAGGACTTTCCAAACTCTGGCTTCGGACAGCGCCGCTACCCCACGAGCGTAGGTGATCCACACCCTGCTGCGCTGTACATGTCATGCCTCTGTGGTCTTCGCTCTGTTTTCCAGAGACTTCGACCTGAGCATGTCCAGCTTGTCACCGCCAGTCTGACAAATTTCCTGCACACGCTGATGCCCCCAGAGAATGCGGCACCACTTCGTGCACAGCGGGCAGCAAGAGCCCTTTTGACCCGGACTCTCGCTTCGCGAGGTCTGGCAAACGCCGCAACTGACGGCTTTGACCTGCCGTCCCCCAACCTCACCGGCAGCAAGGCGAACTTTCCATCCGCTTTGCGGCAAGCTTTCAGGTGTCTCAGAAGCCTCTGGCGCCTTCCTCTTGGCCGGCGGCGTCGATTGACTGACTGGTTCTGCGGCATCAGCATCTCCAGAACCGCAGCGAGCTTCGTCAGGCTTCCTGGAGCGATAGGGTTGCGCCACAAGTGCCCGGAAACACCAAGCGGACCCAACAAACATGCAACAAGGAAATTGCCAGCAAGTCACTGTGGAGACATGGCTGGGGCATGGAGGGTCACCACGTCACCTCCAGAAGCCGCAGTTTGGCGCTCAACTGGCATGCTCACGAGCTCCAGCGTTGGATCCTCTACAACCTGGAACTGATCAGACGGCAAGCACTGGAAGCACTTACATTTGCAGGGCTGCCAAACCAAACACACGCACACCCACACGCATACACGCAAGCAGGCACAGCGTTACCATGAGTGCAGCCCCAGCAACATCAGCGCGATCTGCAGCAAGCTTGGAACAGGCGCGCGAGTCTTTGGATGGGGCGGCGGCATCCCTTTGAGCAGGCTCTTTCTCATCATCCGCGTGAACCAACGTGCCTTTCAGTGACTTTACGCCCCGAGTAGAAAATTCCCAAGCAAGTTTGCCAGCCCCAGCACCTGCTTTGGTGAGCCATGCCCGGTGATAGGAAGCCACGGAACAAAACAGCTGCCTGTGCCCATTGGCAAGCTGCAGCGTCAACGATCCAGTGCAACAGCGCACCCCGCACGTGTTCGGCACCGGAGGATGATCCATGCTGCGTCACTGTTGTATCTGAGCCAACAGCACCTTTAACGGTAAAGAACATGCTGGGTTGGCTCCGTCTATTAAGCAACTTAACCAGGCACATCCTGCATACCAGCATGGCTTCAAAAAATGGTCACTGCCGGGTGCCTGCATATTCATCGCAGCCTCTTTGCAAGTGCCGTCAAATGAACACAAGCCCATGCGATGGCGCTTAAAGACGTTCCTCCAAACTGAAGGGGGGGTCTATCGAAAACCAGGCCCTGACAAGGGAACATCGCATCATACTCGAACACGTCCACGTGGCAGTGGCCTTTCCAAGTACCCCCTAGCCAGCTTGTCAATGGGACACGATCCAAAAACTGTCCCATTTGAAGAAGAGTATCGCTGCAATGCCCCATTAACCTGCTGCTCGCAGACAAACCGACAAGCAAACCGCGACACAAACACGAATTCCCGCATTGACACCGGCTCGCTGTGGAAGCACACACCTCTCAATGTGAGGATGACCGTTATCAAACCCAACCAAACACACACACACACACTCATACACGGCAACCCAACTAGCAATCAAGTGCCTGCAAGCCACTAATCTCTTCCCCCTATTCATAAATACGCCCCCCCCCCTATTATAAATAAATCCTCCCAAAAATGTTTTTCTTTTTTAAATTGGGGTTTTTGGGGTTGGGTTTTTTGCTTTTCCAACAATGTGAGGGTTCACATAGGATTTGGAGGAAATGGATTGAATTGTAAGCTCCGCGAGTAAGCGGTTTAATAATTCATGCTGCGCTCGCAAGGTCTTTCAGTACAAGTCGGGTTGAAACAAAAACCCCGTGGCCAACCCTTAGATCCTTATGCCCTAGTATCCGGTCTGTATCGGTTTGCAGTGTTTTGGCAGCTCTAGCTCGAAAGTCGCGACTTTTGAGTACAACTGTAGTATACGAAGTACACTCTGGCAGCTCCAGTACGAAGTGCACTTTGGCAGCTCTGGCTCGAAAGTCGCAGCTTTTCAGCGCAAGTCAGTGTAGTATAGTGTAGTCAAAGGAAGTTTAACAAGAAACTTCCGTAGTACTGGAACTAAATGAGCTAGCTGCTTTGACATATAGCTATGACAGGTAGCTAGCATGACAAATAGATAGCTTTGACATATAGCTAGCTTGACAGATAGATAGCTTTCCAATAGGCTAGCATGACAGATAGATAGCTTTGACATATAGCCAGCTTAACACATAGATAGCTTTCTCAAGTATCGATTTCGTGGCAGGCGCAGCACTTTCGCAGCACTTTCGCAAGGTCAAGTATCGATTTCGTGGCAGGCGCAGCACTTTCGCAAGCACTCTCTGCGAGCTGGGGGATGGCAAGATGCAGAAAACGTTGGCGCTGTGCGTGAATTGGGCTTCCGGACTGTGCGCAAACCACCTCGGCTGCGACGCCTGTACGGCGGCGGTCTCGGAACGGTCTCGGAACGGTCTCGGAACGGGTTCGGAGACGGGCCCATTGGCACGGCCGCGCGAAGGTTTCGCAAGGTTTGAATTGCGTGGCAGGCGCAGCACTTTCGCAAGGTCAAGTATAGATTTCGTGGCAGGCGCAGCACTTTCGCAAGGTCAAGTATCGATTTCGTGGCAGGCGCAGCACTTTCGCAAGGTGCTGCGTCCACTCTCTGCGAGCTGGGGGATGGCAAGATGCAGAAAACGTTGGCGCTGTGCGTGAATTGGGCTTCCGGACTGTGCGCAAACCACCTCGGCTGCGACGCCTGTACGGAGGCGGTCTCGGAACGGGCGGAACGGGTTCGGAACGGTCTCGGAGACGGGCCCATTGGCACGGCCGCGCGAAGGTTTCGCAAGGTTTGAATTGCGTGGCAGGCGCAGCACTTTCGCAAGGTCAAGTGTAGATTTCGTGACAGGCGCAGCACTTTCGCAGCACTTTCGCAAGGTCAAGTATAGATTTCGTGGCAGGCGCAGCACTTTCGCAAGGTGCTGCGTCCACTCTCTGCGAGCTGGGGGATGGCAAGATGCAGAAAACGTTGGCGCTGTGCGTGAATTGGGCTTCCGGACTGTGCGCAAACCACCTCGGCTGCGACGCCTGTACGGCGGCGGTCTCGGAACGGGTTCGGAACGGGTGCGGAACGGTCACGGAGACGGGACCATTGGCACGGCCGCGCGAAGGTTTCGCAAGGTTTGAATTGCGTGGCAGGCGCAGCACTTTCGCAAGGTCAAGTGTAGATTTCGTGACAGGCGCAGCACTTTCGCAAGGTCAAGTATCGATTTCGTGGCAGGCGCAGCACTTTCGCAAGCACTCTCTGCGAGCTGGGGGATGGCAAGATGCAGAAAACGTTGGCGCTGTGCGTGAATTGGGCTTCCGGACTGTGCGCAAACCACCTCGGCTGCGACGCCTGTACGGCGGCGGTTCGGAACGGGTTCGGAACGGGTGCGGAACGGTCTCGGAGACGGGACCCATTGGCACGGCCGCGCGAAGGTTTCGCAAGGTTTGAATTGCGTGGCAGGCGCAGCACTTTCGCAAGGTCAAGTATATAGATCTTTCGAGGCAGCGCGCAAGCAACTTTCGCAAGCACACTCTGACAACACTCTCTGCGAGCTGGGGGATGGCAAGATGCAGAAAACGTTGGCGCTGTGCGTGAATTGGGCTTCCGGACAGTGCGCAAACCACCTCGGCTGCGACGCCTGTACGGAGGCGGTCTCGGAACGGTCTCGGAACGGTCTCGGAACGGTCTCAGAACGGTCTCGGAGACGGGACCATTGGCACGGCCGCGCGAAGGTTTCGCAAGTTCTGAATTGCGTGGCAGGCGCAGCACTTTCACAAGGTCAAGTATAGATTTCGTGGCAGGCGCAGCACTTTCGCAAGGTCGAGTACAGATTTCGTGGCAGGCGCAGCACTTTCGCAAGGTGCTGGATCCATTCTCTGCGAGCTGGGGGATAGCAAGTTGCAGAAACGTTGGTGCCATGCGTGTATTGGGCTTCCGGAAAGTGCGCAAACCACCTCGCTCGCGACGCCTGTACGGAGGCGGTCTCGGAACGGGTTCGGAACGGTCTCGGAACGGTCTCAGAACGGTCTCGGAGACGGGACCATTGGCACGGCCGCGCGAAGGTTTCGCAAGTTCTGAATTGCGTGGCAGGCGCAGCACTTTCACAAGGTCAAGTATAGATTTCGTGGCAGGCGCAGCACTTTCGCAAGGTCGAGTACAGATTTCGTGGCAGGCGCAGCACTTTCGCAAGGTGCTGGATCCATTCTCTGCGAGCTAGGGGATAGCAAGATGCAGAAGCGGTCGCGGAGACGGGACCATTGGCACGGCCGCGCGAAGGCTTCGCAAGGTTTGAATTGCGTGGCAGGCGCAGCACTCTGTGCGTGAATTGGGCTTCCGGACAGTGCGCAAACCACCTTGGTTGCGACGCCTTCACGCAGGCGGGTGCGGAACGGACCCGGAACGGTCTCAGATTTCGTGGTTGGCGCAGCACCTTCGCAAGGTCGAGAAATAAATAGGTAGCTTGATAGATAGAGACATAGATGGACAGTCAGGTATAGATAGTAAGATAGATAGAATTACTAGGAAAGTCGTCTGTTCTTTCGGCTTGCATGGCTCAAACGTAG